TCGTATTCCAGACATTTTGATCTCTAGAGGAAGAGGTCAAGGCCAGCGTCTCTCCATACAGTGTATTCACACCAAATCTTTTTTAAGAGTAAAGTTATAGCGATACATACCAAATATAAGCAACGTAAAATAGTCGTAAATAAAGGATCACTTATCTAATGATATAATAAAATAAAAGCTCCTAAGAGCTACAAGTAAATATCAATGGTGTGGGTAAAAAATTTAAGAATTTTGATTGTTTTATGCATGATCACTGCCTTAAAGTAGACAGATAGGAGTTACACTGCGACACTCGACATCCAACCAGGTGTCGTACGTAAGAGGAAAGTTCTGCTTTGAGAAGAAGATAAAACTAATAGTAAACAAAGAATTACTACAGTTGGACATCTATCAAGTTGATCTCATGTACTAGTTGATGGATTAAGTCCAGAAGTTCTACTGAAGTCTCTGGCATATTGTCTTACTGGAATCGTCATTGTCAAATGCAAGTTGACCTAAGCCTATACTATATTGCTCCTACTCTAAGATGTGCATAGGGCATCAAAGGCTGCGGCATAATATTTAGAAATAACTCGTATGGGGAGAGGTCAAGCGGTATTCGTCTTTTAACGGAATTCAAAAGCCTAAAATATATTTATTAATTTAGGAAATGAAAATCTAATCTTTTTCCAAACAGCTGGTTCTTCTGGAAAGTATGAACGAGTACCAAATTCATTATCAAGAACCAATGATAATGACAGTGCATCCTTCAAAGTAAGTCTCCTTTCCAAATATAACAAATGTGCCGCCCTTAAACCAAAACAGCTGAGATTTTATTGCCTCAATTTGCATACCCAAGAGGCTATTTGATTTGATAGCTTTGCTTTCTGCCTGGAGAAACGGCAGAAGCAACGCGTCTCAATGCCCTATGCTTCCAAAGCCACTCATCTGGGACTTCAGAAAATGGCTCTTGAAAACGGAGCTGTTGCATCCTAGAAAAGTTGGAGTGATCAATGAATTCTGTTGAACGGTGAACGTCAACAAGTTCCTTGCGATATGAAAGCCCGTTATCATGCTTAGTAAATTGTTTCTTGCATTCAAAGTCATCGCCTGAAGGATACTCTTCTGACCGGTCCATATAAGCTGATTGCTGCTTTCTAATTCGACTGAATACCGCTTCTAACTCCGGAGATAAAGAAGATTCGGTAGTTTTCTTGCAATATGAAGTGTGTATAAATCGAGGTTCTACCGGCATATCAGGATTCTCAAATGGCTTTGCAACATGAAGCTCTATTTCATTAGTGCCTCGACAAGAAACTTGCATTGTTTGGCATTTATTTTCACTCTAAAACATATAAAATGTGTAGATAATAAAAATTAGTTTTGAAACACATAAAACTTGTATTGCTGAAATAATTCCGTTTCAGTGAGCTTAAATAAGTTCCTATGTTCATTGCCAGGCTTGATACTGACAGGAGATTCCTCGATTGCATGCTTTAAATATTTAGTAACTATAAAAGATAGGTAAGAAGAGGCAGTGAATGGTATAAAGTACTTTCATAATAATCACTTAGTCTATTTTATGATGTGGGAAGTGCCATATTAGTTTACTATCACGCAAAGGTAAAAGTTTTCCATGAATGGATCTCATTCTAAAAGCTCTTAAATAGTGGCAATTCTACTCCATCTCTGACCAAAATTCTTGAAAAAGCATTACTTGAAATTAAGGTATAGAAAGAGTATTGAGAGCAGCTCACATTGTGATTTCTGTAAAAACATGAAACTTATTTTTCGTGTTTGAGTAGAGTTTCGAGACTGAAACTGATTATCGCTAATACCCTATAAAAACGAAACGGCAAGCAAAGGACGAAATCGCTGCATTTAAGATCAACGCCCTGGGTAAGACATTACTCAATTAGACGAGCACGGTTATCGGATATTTGTGACTAACCATCTGATTAATGCAACTTCTCATCAGCAACTT